ACACAAAGAGAGAGAGAAAATAGCTTGCCTGCTGAGTTGTTATTAAGTACTGTAAATATTCTGCAAATTTTGAACACCTAATTTGCAAACAGTCTACACAGGTTCATGATTCATTGTATGTACTCTCTTGATCTCAACTCAGGAAATACACAAAGTTGTCCAGGCCCTATTGTCCCTGTATATGCCAGCTATGGAAAGATATAAACCCCCTGCTTTCTTTCCTGTCAATGCAGGGGTGCCATACACTCATGCTGATTGACTCCGTCACAGGTAGTGTCTGTCTTCTCCCTCCCTCACCACCTTTAGTCTGTAGAGTCCTTTACCTCTCAGTCTTTCTGATTTGGCTTTTTCCCTCAATAAAACTCGTCTTCTAACCTCTTGTCACGTCATTTGTGAGTCAAGAAAGATTCTAATCGTGGTATAATGCCACTGTACATGTTTTAAGCAGGAAAGCTGTGTGTTTAATATCAAATTTGTCACAGTAAAGGACTGATATACACTTCTGAGTGCTAATTTCAAAGAAAGGGACTGAAGACTGGAAGAAGGAGACTTTACTTCCTATTTTCTATCATTTTAATAGTTTGACTTTTTTTTTTACCTTGCCCATATCTTAGTTTCATAATATTTTTGTTTTCTTTTTAAAGTTACTAACATGATGGTAGGGTTGATTGAACTTTTGTTTTTCAGTTCCAAACATACAAAATTGCAATTATTTTATGGATTAAAATGGACACCATGGACTAGCCTGAGCATCTTATCACCACGTGTAAACTGTTATCCTTCTCAAATTCCATATACAACAACTGACTTACAAATAACATTTTGAGTTACAATCTGTTTGTCAACTGTAAAGAGCCAAATTGATTAAAATCAACAGATTTTAAAATTTCAGTATTGAGACCATATGGATTATCTAGTGTCCCTGTAGAAAGTAAGATATTATGGAAGTCAATTCCCTAGTTTTAAACTCTGCAAGCAAATAATCATCTCCCCATAGCCTGATCCCTAAATAGGTAATCCAGTATGTCCGACAACCCCATTTAATAAGCAGAGACTGACCATAGAAAATAAATATTATATACAATATCTATAATGGTAAATATTTATTATATTTTATATACTGTATATGGTAAGCATATATTGTACTATAGATATATTGCATAAGATATATAGTAAAGTCTATTATACTTGCGCTTTTCAAACTAAAATATGTTGTACTGCTCCCACATAATGAAACTTGGCCTCTTCATTTCTTGCTATAATGATACTAATATATAACTAATCCAATAATAGCAGCTGTTTTCCTGAAGTCTCAGAGGGTTGAATTAGTTTATCTGCACACAGTTTGTTTCTACTACCAGACACAATCGGATGTCATGATTCAGCACACAACCAATGGCTACAGCACAGGGTCTGTCCTCCCGGACTACAGGAGACCAGTGGCCATCAATAGGATGGGATTTTTTTTTTTTTCCTTTAATGAACCAGGGTCTGTCCTCCAGGACTGCAGGAGACCAGTGGCCATCAATAGGATGGGATTTTTTCTTTCCTTTAATGAACCAGGTTGTTTTGTTTTTAATAGACAGTTTCGGAGTGTTTTGTAGCCACACTTGATAAAACACGTGTACACACACACACACACACACACACACATACACACGCAATCCCTGGCAGAGATGGGGTGGGACTGGTAGGCTGAGATCCTCTATGAGCCTGTCGTCATCCCTTTCCCACTGACAGCAATTGTGTTCTGAGAAGCATAACTGCATCACTTTCTATGCATCAGTTGATAAGTAGTAGCTCTCATTCCTTACTAGAACGATATATTTTATTTTATCACTTTTAAAGAAAGAAAAGGATTGCCATTCAGGCTCTAGTTTCCAAACTGTTCTGTCATTAAAAATAATAATAATAATAATAATAAAGATGGTAGAGGAAATGTTTACACCAATTTTATAGGCATTAGCTTTCATTTTCAAGTGTCTCTAGAGTTTGTAGTTGTTTATAAAATATAAGGCATTCCTCGTTGTGCAACAGTTGTTTATTTCCTTTCCATATTTCCTCTTATCAGAAAAAAAAAAATCCCATTTGGTCTCCTAGCAAAATCCAACCTATTTTGCTAAGTTATTTGTGAGTTCTTATAAAGTGTGTTTAATATCCCCAGGACAAAGATTTGGAGTCGCTGCAGGCTTAGCAAGGGAGATGTGCCACATGTAGTCTTTGAGGTCCCCGTGGTGTGTTTGGTGCACGGACGCTCATGAATGTGTCTCCTCCTTGTTTAGCCACTCCACAGCAAGCCAACCTCCCCGTATTGTTCCATTCATAGTCCTCTGCGTTCATTCAGAAGTCTGACACTTCCTTTGCGCAACAGATTAAAGGGGCAGAGTAGGATCTTTTGATGATTTGCAAAACAGCTTTCTTAGTCTAAGCTCCTTAGGCTATCCTGGTCTCTCAGAGTTGAACTGCTATTCATTGGCCTAAAATTAACCAGAAACTTGGCCTTATTTTCCTTCCTGACAAGTTTTTTAATGTCTTAAAAGCATAAAGATTTGTGTCGTCGTGGCTGTTGTTTTTTAATCTTTTATCTTTGTGTTGATGAGGGAGAGAAAGGAGATGTAGAAATGTTTTTAAAGAAAATAGTCCAAAAGAAAACACGTAAGACAATGAAAAACAGAATGGTGCTGCTTCTCTCTGCTAATCTATCAATGACTGGTAGGTTGTGGCATCAAGCCTTTAATGATGTGGCTTATCTATCGTTCCATTTTACATTATTTTCTACCTTATGAGAAAGCCAGTGTTTATTATCACAGGTGACAAAACACAGAAGAGAAAAACAATCAGAGAGATTCCATTTAATCTCTTTAAGTGGGCTTCATATTTGCTTTTTTACTTTCATCCCCAAGCCAGAAGCTCGTAAACCAGGTGAGTGAGAGCGCAGATTGCCTTTCTCAGGTGCACATGGCCAAACCTGCCGGGAAAGCAGGTGTAGAATCCATGACAAGATAAACACCGGGTCGCTCTTGGGGAAACAGCATTCAGCCAGATGGCTGAAGATGAACTTTTGAAATACCACTGTGCGACTACTGTTCAAATATTTACTAAGTGAACCTGGAAAGGAAGAAATGTTGGTCACCTGATATGGAATTCCCTGTCCTTTTCTGTGTCTAAATGCTGCCTCAGAACCTCAAGAGAACCCGGTTGTTTATCCAAGAAAGAAATAGGAGCTTTGCCGTTGGGGTTGCAGGTATACCTAATGCGGGCTTAATTAAGCAAAAACAGTTTTGTGATCTTGCATCTGACAAAACATTCTTTAATGTTTCATGACTGTTTATTTTAAGAGATGACTGCCAGTCGGGCAGATTAGAATGTTTACTACTATGTTGCTCTGGTCCCTCGCCCTGGCTCTGTGAGCCGTTACCACACCACGGCCGGTGTGAGGAGGCTCTTACACGTCAGCGTGGCAGTTCACAGAGTAAGGAAGTCCGAGTTAAGCAGCTGTTTAGGAAACAGTTTGCCTTTCAAATATTTGGACCTACACTGCCGCTACTTTTTAAGCTTAGTGTTATTATTTGCACATTTGTGAATTTTGGTAGAGTTTTAAAAGCATACCACAGTGACCTGGGAACGGAGAGAAACTTCCTGGAGAATTTAGCCAGTTTATAAAGACACTGCTAAGAGTTATTAAATTAATCTGTATTTGACCACCAAGGTCTTTTGGGTAAGTCTTTGTTGTGTTCTGTCCTTTGGTTTGAAGCCACCCCTCTGGTCATAGAGACCAGTGGTGCTGTGCACATCCATTCATTTAAGAATCATGGCTCAAGTAATAATTTAATCATTTCATCTCAGAAGCTAAGGGAGTTAATGAGAAACACAGGTTAGGATCCAAGCTCTATTCTGGAATGAAGATTAATCGTCCTAACAAAAAGCTTATGGTGAAATGAAAAATTGAGAAAATTATTATACTTTTCTGGGGGAAAGTATTCAATGAGGGTCACTGACTTCTGAAAGGTTTTCTATGGCTTTAAGTAATCACGTTTCCTGCTGTGGAAGCATTGAGATGGAATGTCATTATCACGATATTTAACGATTAATCTATTTATGCATTTTGTTTAAACATCCTTTAGAATATATATATATAGTCCACATAGAGAAAATTCAAGGGTCATTTGGGGTTTTGTATAAATAGTTCCCACGTTTACATGTGAAAATGATGGTTTGTGAAAGAAAAACAGAGCTTTCAATATCCTATTTTAGTTCCGTTCTCTATAAAAAGTCTGTGAAACAGTGGAATCATCATAGCCTGGAGGACAAACTGTCAGACCATCCTGTAGTGGCATAACTCAAGCACAGCCGTTCCACGTGCTGGAACTGAGGGGGCTGCAGTGCTGCATCCCGGGGAAACACTGGGAAAACGTACCCCCATTTACAGATGGTAAACCCTCGGGGTAGAGCCCTGAGATTCTGAGAAACCTAAGGTCTGTTTTATTTCATTTCCTCTCGTCGCAATCTACTTTAGTAAATAAATTCAGGAAATTGGTAAAGCACTTTACTCTGTCCGTTATGTATGGGTCATTAGCATGGTTGTCACGTTCTTCCTGGCTCCCAGGCTGCTGTGGCTCACGGCCGCCCTTGCCTGCCTGCGACCAACTTGGAACTCCCCGGGTGACGGGTGTTACTGGGCTTAAGCAACGTAAACAAACAGAACAGCACACAAATTTTGCAGAGAAGTACATTTCCTCTGCTTTCTTAGTAAAGATTTTTAACCTTAGGGGTTTTCTATATTGATTCTGGCATTCTTTTCAAATAATCCTTTTTCACCCCGGGTCTGCTCTACACCCTGGGACAGAATAAAAGAAATGATCATTCATTCAAGGGTACCAGCCACTCGCTCTCCGGCTCTTAATCCTTTTTATCCCTTTTTTTTTTTTTTTGGTTGTTAAAACCTGAGCTGCTCTTAATAGCGTGGATTGCTCACAAAGACAGACTGATTTTTTTCCTACCTTCATCAGCCACTGAGTGTTGTTCTCCATGATATTCTCCAGTGCTTGCAGCCTCTGCACCGAGTCGTCGTAGTCGAGGGGCGCGTCCCTCTGCACGGCATTGGACACGTAGGGGCTGGAAGAAGAGCGGCAGTTGTCCATCTCTGGCAGGAGGAACGTGTAGCTGCAGGACCCGTGCTGGACCTGATACTGCCTCTTTCCTATGCTGTCCATACTCTTCCGAAAGTTGTTGTAGGCTGTGGCCAAGACAAGATCACAGCTCAGAGTAAAGAAAACAATCCGCCACATGCTTTCTTTCTCCGGCTAATAAGCCACCAGCTGGGCAGACTTCAAGACACACGCGAGTCCGAGTCCGGGGTCCTGAGCTGCCGTCTAAATGCGGGGCGATGCTGCCACGGCCGGGTCTGTCAATGAAAGCCCCCTCGTTCCTCCTCTTGCAGCAGCAAACTTGGTTTTTAGTGCTGCTTCTCTCCGGACATGCAGTAAACTGTCAGACTGCCGTGGGAAGAGCAGTCCTGCTCACTTGGGAGGGCTGCATCAGCTTGACCGAGCAGCTTTCACGTTTCTTTGTTTCTCTGCCCAGATTCTATGGTGTGGGTATCCGAATCAATCACTTTCCGTTCCTTATATGATAAGTTGATAAGAGCAGCCAGACATGTGTAGCAGGCTGCTCCGCCCTCCTGGCTTATCCGTTATCTTCCTGTAGGGGGTCACTAGCCAGGCAACAGGAAAAAATCAGAGCGGCATGCCTGCTGTCCGGCCAGGACTGTATGCTGCGGAGGCCCTCTGGGAAACACTGATCAGTTACAGGACCCCTGGGCATTTCCTAGGCACCACCCTAATTAAGTATTTCCTAGAGAGAGCAGTGGGTCTCTTTTGTCTGAAACTGATTCCACTGTGCTAAAGCTGGCAAAATATCTGAGGTAATAATTTTAATTTTAAAGTACAATGAAAGTTCCTGTTTTTTCCTTTAGGAATAAAAATACTACAAATATGTCAGGGCTTGGGTTTATTTTTGTAATTACAAATAAAGAGGAAGAAGTTTGGCTCTTGTAAACTCTTTGCCTTTTCATAGAGGGAAATAGTCTCATCGGTATTACTTGATTTTTGAACTATTAGCCAAGTTACCAAAGATTTTCGTTTTAAAACAGTTGGATGGGAGCATCTCACTTTATTAAATCATATTAGAAAGAATCAGTTTCTGAGCTCTGACATTTAGTCTTCTAAATGAAATATCCACCTTAATAGTCAAGTGAAATTTAACATATACTGTACTGATGTGTTGCTCATTAAATTACAGTATGTAGGTAGAGAGAAATCAGAATTTGAGTGTGTTGAGTGAGGAACACATAAACTTCTCCTTTACTATATTAGCATTTGTTCAATTCTCATCATTTTGTAATGCATTATCAATTACATTAGTCTCACTCAGTGTTAGACTCAAAGCACTTCCCCTTTTTAATTAAACTCTACTTAATCTGTACTTATCTGTGAAATTCAGGAGTTGTACTAACTTCCAGAATTTTTTTACTTCAATGCTATGACTCTGTAAGTCCTACAGGTTACTTCCTTTAACAATTAAAACTTAATACTTCAAAGATTAACAACATGTTAACTCACCAGCCTAAGCATACATAGCGGAAAAAAACTTACAGCCTTTGCTGTGGTCTGTTTATTTCTCAGTGTACAAGATTTATTACTCTCAGTGAGTGTAGAATATCTGGCATACTTACTTAATGGACCACAATGACCAATGAAAGATTGGTATTTTTCACCAAGCTCTAGCTGAAAGGCAGACTTTCCTTAATCTATGAATAGTTAACAGACAATAGTGACATTATCTGTGACTTTCTCATCAATGGAAATCATAGATATTTTTATTTGCTGTCACACTTATATTCAGCACTAGAATGTCATTAAACCCATCCTTAAATCTTATTATTGAATATTTGAATATAGTAGCACCTGTCATCTTTGAGAAGGGGTTCATAGTTTCCTCCAGACTATCACAGGGTTCTAAGAGCACAGAAAAGCTGGAACTTAGGTTTTCCTAGAAGGGTCCCATTAGTAGAAGAGGTAGTTTGATTCTACCAAGAATCTGGGACATGCTTTCTACTCAGGGAACAAATCAAAGAAAATATAACCAATCAGACAGTGAATCACAGAAGAAAACAGATAGATCTTGATGATGAGGCCTGTGTTAGAACCTTGGTTCTGTGTGACCTCGAGCAAATGCCTAAATTCTCCTAAGTCTCAGTTTCCCTACTTGTAAAATGGAGATCATTCTTTCTCTGTAGCAGTTTTAGTATGAAGATAATATATAATTGCAAATGATGAGTTCCCTTGCTTTTTGATAAATGGAAATTTGTTTTTCAGTAAATGGAAATCAGTTATTCCATGAAATAGTGTCACTGTGCTAATCTCTGACTGAGTATGACACAGTAACATAGGGGACACATTTTTTCTTCTAAGTGTATTTCCTGTTTGCAAAAGCATAGTCTAAGGTACTCATATTGCATATGTGGTTTTTAAAAGTATTCAGACTCATAGGGTGGTTTAAAAGGAAGAAACAGGAAGAGAATGTGCCACAGTGCTTCTCGTCTACCAGCTCTGTATCCGACACTCTGCTAGGCACCGGGGGTGGAAATTAATGCAACTGAGTTTTTGACCTAAAGAAGCTCATGGTATATGGAGGGAGAGAGACCCTTGAGCAAATAGAATGTGATAAGAGAAAGCACTGTGAGGGCACACCCAAGCTTCTGGGTGGACACCAGTCCTGCATGCAACTGGTACAGACTCTGTCATTATGGAATCCCCTCAAGGTCTGAACATGGAAGGAACAGGTCTTGGTAGATTTCTAAATAAGAGTTATTGGAACTGGAGAGTCAGGGGACACTCTAGTTAGATGGGCGTTGGCAGCTTTTTTGGTAAAGGCCCATAGAGTATATACTTTAGGCTCTTCTGCTCTCAGTGGCTGTCGTGGCCACTCAGCTCTGATATTGTAGCACAGATGCAGCCATGAAACAGCGAATGGGTGTGGCTGGGCCCCGGCAGACCATCATGAAGCGAGGATACTCAAATCTCAACTTCTTGTAATTTTCACATGTTATGAAGTATTCTTCTCTGAATATTTTTTTCCCAACCATTTAAAACTGTAAAAACCATTCTTAGCTCACAGACCATCAGAAGCTGGTCATGATCTGTAGTTTGCTCACCTCTGAATGGGAGCCTAGGGAAGTCTGCAGAGGGCTAGAAAGTGGTCAGTAAGGCCATCTACGGTATAGACAGTACCCCGCCAGGGTAGCCAGGAGAGCTTTGCCTCCTCCACTCTCCTATGGTTTCTTGCGGTGCTGAGAATCATGAAACAAGTCAGGGAAAGGAGCAGAAACATCTGCTCAAAGGCAAAGTGCCACTCTGATGCTGGGTTGCATTTGCCAGGTGGAGAGAGGCCTGGGAAATGACCCCAAGGGAGAGCACATGGCGAACCTACTCCCTCGGTGCATGGTAGGGCCAGTGGGACACAGTGCCATCAGAGCTGCGAACCTGATGGCGAAGAGCAGTCCTGGGGAAGCACAGATGGGGTCTGCAAGACCACCAACCACGGCAGCTTGGAGGAGCCAGCAAGAGACCCTCCTAGGACCTGTGAGTGTCAGGAACACCTCCACCTTAGCTCATGAGCCTTGGGGATCAGAGACCACACAGCTTGACACCTCCACTCTCTGAAAAGACCTCACTGGGGATGTCAGAACTGGTCATATCCAAAGAGTGTCTTGGGTGTTCTTCCATGACATGCAGACAGGATAGCTTAAGGCAGCCAAGACTATCAAACAAGAAATATTGTCATAGACTTCTCAAAAGCCACCTGCCTGCCCAACCTATTTTTTTCCCTTCACAGTTCTGCAGAACATCTGTACATAGTGTTATTTATTTTCTTAATGATGTTTGTTTTCTTCCGCATATTGTATGTCATCAGCTGAAAGTTCAGAGGCTGCTGTTTGTTCTCTGTAGAACTGTCTCAAATTCTCATTATCCTGTTTGAGGGCACCAGTAAGACCACAGTTACCTACTCCCTCAAGAAAGGGGTCGGCATTACAGAGAGCTTCCACTGCTGGCCGCTTCGGTCTACCCTTCTAAAGGAAGGTCCTAACATGTGGCAAAAGCCAGAGTCTCCCAGGGGCCGTGGCCTCTCTGTCCCCACCGCCATGTAGGTGGATGGTGGCACAGACCCACTTCCGGCTAGATTATGGAATCAGACTGGTGACAGCCTCACAGAGACCCGGGTCCAACAGAGCAATCTGTGCAGCTGTCCTAGGAAGCCAGAAACGAAAAAATAAAAAAAAGGATGCCACCTTTCAACCAGTGCAAGAGGGGACCACCCTCACACTGTGGATCCCCAAAGAGAATCTGCAAGGGGGCCCATGTGACACCTGTGGGCCTGTTTACCACTCATTATTAGCCAAGTCAAGGGTGGAAGGGGATACCAACCTGACCAGGGTAGTGGTGGTTTTTCTTTCCCAGCCTATAGAGTCCCAACCATACGTCGTACATGTGTGCTTTGAGATAGCCCTGCCTAACTGGCAAACACAGGGAAGGTGCTCAGATGCACCGAGAAGCACCTTAGGCCTTGCTTTTACAGGGAAGTTTGTGCTGGGGTCGTTTTCCATCAGGCCTGGGCAGCCCCTCCAGAGCCAGCCTTCTTCCTGGAGTCCCTCCCACCGTCTCCACCAGCAGGCCTCAGAAGCAGTGACTGGTGCAGGCTTACTCAGCCAGTCTGCCCGTAATTTTTGGAAAATGCCTTGTTGGTACATGAGGAACTCTCATGCCGAAACAGTCTAAGAAAGGAAGCTGGGACACTCTGTTTTGATTTTAGCCATTTGCAGACCGAGGGGCATGCTCGGGACTTGCGGGCGCCTGGCAAGGGAGAGCAAGGAGGGACCCTGGAGACATCTTGGCCATCTCCCTTCCCTCCCTGTCCCCGGCCTTTTTAAAATTGGCTAAGTGAAATCAGTTAACATGTTTATGTTTACAGCTTAATGTTCAGTATATAGGGAACACCATTAGGAAGTTCACTGGACATAAAACAATTGTTAGAGAAAAAGCTATTTTTACTACTCTCCCCCCCCAAAAAAAATTGTATGCAATAATTAATGAGAAGTAAAGAAACAGCTAAAACTGGTGCACTTGCGCAAAGATTTCAGCTTTCCGAAAGCAGTCTCTCTGTGCAGTGATTCCTTTATGTGTCTCCTGGGACATCTCTGTTTCTGCCCCATTTTGATACATGTCGAATCGGATTTGAAGAGCCACAAACACAGCCTAGAGCCATTTTGCAAAAATATTGGTGCAGCAGCCATGACCACTCTCCAGAGCTGCTCATCTGGTTAAACTAATATTAAACCCTTAAACCCTGAATATAGAATGCTGGGAAAGGTCGTTCCCAGCCATGGGATTTGAGAAAAGTACCAAAGGAAAGCCCCTACGAGTTACTGTCAAGATAGAAGAAAAGGAAGAAAAGCGTAAACACACATGCATAAACATGCAAGGTAGCTCTTGTCCTGACAACAGCAGGAAATCAGGACTCCTCAAGGTGAGAAGATGGCATATTACCTTAGCCCAGTGCAGCTATGTGTCTTTATATTAATGGCGATGACTTTAAGGAAAATTTAAAGCAGGAATTTTGCCCCAGTTTTAACCTGGCAAGACTCAATCTGCTTTGGAAAGGAGTGCTGGCTGTCACCTCTGGGCAGCACAAACACATCCC